TAATGAAATTGTTGATGCCATTGACAATCTGAAGGACGGTAAAGCTCCTGGTCCTGATGCAGTAACTCCAGAAATGATAAAATGTTGTAAAACTGAACTATTGCCATTTTTTCATGCATTGTTTAATAATATTTTGAACAGTGGTAATTTCCTATAGAATGGGCTAAAGGACTGGTTATACCGCTTCACAAGAAAGGCAAGAAGACAGAGGTTAATAATTATAGAGGGATAACGCTTAGTGATGTCATGGGGAAATTATTTACGTTTATATTAAACAAGAGGTTGACAAGTTTTTGTCATCAGTATGACAAGATTCCTGAGTCTCAGGCTGGGTTCCGTGCTGGATATAGCACTGTTGATAATATTTTCAGTTTACAGTGTCTGGTCCAAAAGTATATCTCGAAAACTAATGGTCGTTTTTATTGTTTATTCGTTGATTTCAGAAAGGCATTTGATTCCATTAATCGTAAATTATTGTGGTTCTCAGTTTTAAATAAAGGTATTCATGGTAGAATATTTACAGTATTATTGGACATGTACTCCAAAGTTAAATCTGCTGTTAAACTGTCAAATAGTTCCATTTCTCATTATTTTGATACTTAAGTGGTGTAAAACAGGGGTGTATTTTAAGTCCTTTGTTGTTCTCTCTTTTTTGTTGTTGAGTTGGAAACTATGTTACAGGAATCGAATGTCCGAGGTACATTTGTTGGTCAAGAGTTTCGTGATATTTTATCTTTATTTTATGCTGATGATCTTTGTTTGTTTGATGATAGTGTGATTGGTCTAAAGAGAAAAATAGATGTATTGGAGCAGTTTAGTATCAAATGGGGTTTGGATGTCAATTTAGATAAGACTGAAATTTTAGTTTTTAGAAATGGTGGCAAGTTACGGTTTTCTGAAAAATGGATGTATGGCAATAAAACTATTAAGACATCGACCTATTATAATTATCTTGGGTTAACGTTTTCTAACAGGTTATGTTGGTCAAAAGGTATTGAAGTTCTTGTTCAAAAAGCATCAAAAGCCCTTGTATCCGTTAAACAATTAGAGCGTAAGTTTCAGAATATTTCTTCTTTAGTTTTATTCAAGATATTTGATGCTCAGATTAAGCCAATCTTACTCTATTCTAGTGAAGTGTGGGGTCATTCAAAGTTTGAATGCATCGAGCGTTTTCATGTTAAGTTTTGTAAATATGTTATTGGTGTAGGTAGTTATGTCTCTAATGTTGCTGCACTTGGTGAATGTGGCAGATATGGCTTATTTGTCGATTGTCATAAAAGATGTATTCAGTATTGGTTAAAGTTGCTATCAATGCCTAATCATAGATATCCTAAGCAATGCTATCTTCTGTGTAAATCCTTAGACGACTGCAATCGTGTTACATGGGCTTCAAAGGTTAAAATATTACTGTTCTCATATGGTTTTGGATTTGTTTGGATCTCTCAGGAAGTTGGTAATTGTTCTTTATTTCTTAGTAAGTTTGTGCAAAGGGTTAAAGATTGCCACCAACAAGATTGGTTTTCTAAAGTTTGTGAATCAAATAAGTTATGTTTCTATCAAGAATATAAATCTCTATTGACAGTTGAATATTATTTATCCACTCTAAAGGATCGCGAATATAGAAGGCTTTATTTTTGCTAAGATCTGGGGAATTGCCTTTAATGATAAATGTTGGTAGACGTTGTGGTATTGTTCGCGATGAACGATTTTGTAATTTATGTATGAATGGATGTATAGAAGATGAATACCATTTTCTGTTAATATGTAAAGTTTATTCCATTTTAAGACAAAAGTATATTCCTGAAAATGTCTGGAAACATCCCTCTATTTATAAATTTAACATGTTATTAAGTTGTGACAAAGTGAATATCCTAATTAACTTAGCAAAATTTGTAAAAGAAGCTTTAAGGTTAAGAAGTGCTTAAAATGTGTATCTAACCATTTTGTCACTTGCATTATCATTTTCTGAGTTTTTGTACATCGGCCTATGGCCTTTATACGGAATAAAAGAATTGAAATCGTATATCGTCACTGATTATTGTGTTGCAGAATCCTCGGATCCATACACGGCCCTTAATGCTGTGGTTGCAACCTTAAGCACAGGACCAGTGGGAATCGGTGACATGGTTGGGGGCACAAACAAGACACTCATCATGAAGTAGGCTGCACGTTCCTTATTTCATCCAAACATCTTCTTAGCCTGTATGTTTCCATATTTATCCATTAGTGTTCCTGTAATCAGAGTTTGTACTTCTTTATTTATTATTATTACTTCTGTGTTCAGTTTTGCTTCGCACATGTTTATCTTTATTTCCTATTTTTATTTTGTGTTACTCCTGCATATGTTATCGATCGTTTCTGTCTTAAGTATTCATTTTTAATTATATATACGTGTAGAGAGATTATTACACAAGCAAGTGTGTCATATGACTTACACGAAAAGAGTGTGAAATTGTGTATGCTCATAACACTAACATATAACATACTTGCTCGAGTGTAATAATTTCTTATTATCCATTTCATTCATGTATATTTGTAAAACACGGTAAGCAAGTTTGACGGCCCTCTTTATTGACGTCACGCTCAATTGTTTAATGACGTGGTCTTTGTATTTCTTTACACGAATCGGAGTTTTCTACTGAGAATAGTCAGTACGTAGCTATGCATTGTCCTTTTATTAGATAATTCAACTGGGTCGATGCTCAGTTGCATACTTTAGTATGCTGAGTCAGCTACAAAATAAATAGTTAAATACCGACTCCCAATGTGTTGTAAAACAAATTTATTTTCCAAACGAGCAATAAAAGATACATGTAATTGCAGACACATGTTGTGAATGCCGGATGTTAACGGTGAGGCAGGGCTTGCTTACCAAATTCTCTTTTTCTCGGCTGTCATCACTGATTTCAACACCTATGACTGGATATTCTTTTACACCGACGTTCTATATTTACTCATGTTCATGCTTTCATTGTCTAATTCACGCTCTCTTTGTATTTGTATTAATTACCTTTACTCATATAATTTGTTTACATATGTTTTGTTTACATATGTTATCTTGGTACTCACATCTATAGATGTTCACCGTTGCTTCATCTCTTGCATAGATCTGTAAATACTGACGGTCTGATCCTGAAACCATCTCGACCGGCGACTTCAATTGACAACAGAATACGGAGGGTACCTGTGCACAACCTTTCTGACAAATTACACTAACACAGTCCCGTCGTTTGGAGTGAACCTCATGCATATATAGTCAGTTTTGTTGATCAGAAGTAACAGTGGAGTACTTAGCAGGGGAACTAGTTACTCGAAAGGGCTTAAACAGTTCCAACAAGACTGACTGAAGTCATGCAATATATACCCGTGAGGGTCCAGGTTAGAATATTGATCTTCAGCAACCCATGCTTGTCGTAAGATGCGACTAACGGGATCGGGTGGTCAGGCTCTCTGACTTGGTTGACATATGTCATCGGTTCCCAGTTGCGCAGATCGATGCTCATTCTGTTGATTACTGGATTGTCTGGTCAAGACTCGATTATTTAGAGACCGCCGCCATATAGCTGTAATATTGCTGAGTGTGGCGTAAAACTGACAGCACTCACTCACTTACTCACTCATGCAAATTATTTTAGCAACCCAACAAAGCACCCATCTGCCCATTATGCGCTACCCCTTTGAATACCCTTCAAATTATACGGCTTTCACAGATTACACTATATAGCTCACCGATATGAATTTAAACATTGATGATAACAGGACATCATTAAACTAATGCTGTTGTGATTAGAAGAGGGCTTATCCAATGGTAAATAACATAAAACTATGAATGCAATGATAGACACGCATGAAATGACTTGATACAACTGAAAACTTCATATTTTGCATGTTTTCAAGAAATGACATAAAATACCTTTTTACAATGGAAGGTTTATCATTGTGCAACAATGGGCATCATACTACAGCTTGAAATGTTAAATGTTATGGTAACAAGGTAGACCGAAGGTTAATGCCTACTTAAATGACATAGAACGGCATATTTAACACACTGAAATGGCATCAAATACCTTTATAGAATAGAAGGTTTTTATTGTCATGAATATTTTCCAGATGGCTTGGTCAGACTTTGAGGGTCCTGATGGGGAGGTGTGGTCCACGTATTCAGATATGGGTGGAAAGAACAAGTACGGTATCATCCTTGCTGCTGATCTTCAGGGAAACTACACCATGACACCTTGTATGGCTGGATATCAAGGGGTAGGACATTACGTTTCTTCTTCCCTTATTTCTGCTGTCGCATTCTTGCCGTAGATTACCGTTTCGGTTCACCTGTAATTAGTCAGGTGTACTACTGATATCAAAGTGAATATTTCCAGTTTCCGAACTCCATGGTTTTCCCAGCCAGCAATCCCAACAAGATCCAACCATTGACAGACCCCCGACCTTTGACAATGAGTGGCTGTACCAAGGCTGACTTCTGTCTCTTCTATGTATCACCTGTACTGAGCATCAATGGGTAGGTGTATTCCTTCATTTCAAATCATGCAGATATGAATAAATATCAAAACTGATCCAATATACTAAGCAAACCAATATTAACTGTGCGATATAAATAGTCTAACACTATGAACAGAAAGGACATGTGTCATTTGATAAATGCTTGAACGTGATGCACAGAATTCTGAGAAGCTTCTTTTGTTCACTTTCATAGAGGTCCAGACATTAAAAGGGTTTATCTTAATGAAGCAGTGAATATTCCTTGAAGATATCAGGGAAGGTACCGAAATATCGATGAGTAGACATGATAATTTCTCAAACTGTAAGCACAGATGACCTCAAGTGATATTAATCCAAAATAGGACACATTGTAAACAAACGTTACACATTTGGTTGTACAATGTATATTTTTAGTTGCAACCTAAAGAAACAAAAGCGTGTAACTGAACCATATTATTTTGTCTGAACGAAGTAAACAGTGATATCAATGTTTTCCCCTGCAGCAAACAAGTTCTGATTCAGGGAGAGTTAGACAAGTGGGTGCCGATGTCACCCCAGAGAGTTACGGCCATCAACATTGCCGATGACATCACCATCAGCCTCACTGGAGCTGCCCATGAAATTGTCTCCTTCTGGTTCAACGTGGATGGTAAATCCTCACCTGTGACCTGTACCCTCGGAGCAGCAGGACTAGCCACCCTCAGTTTCTCAGCTGGCACATGTCGTGGTGTTTAATCAATATGATGCATGTGCGAGAATAGTTTACATACATCTATTATCTAATCCATGTGTCTAGTTTTAAAGAAGTATCAGAAAGTCCATATCACTAACACCACAGTTACTACACATAGATGAACATACGCAAATACGGTCATACTGTATTTGCATTTGTTTCAGTAGTGTAAAATGTGACTTTTGGTCCAGTGAATGAACGATAATACATGTGCCTAAATATAACATGTGCCATATTAACATTTCTTACGCTTATATGGATGTGAATAAAAGTACATGAAGTGTGAATTTACTTCCTTTGTTGATTTGTAAACGTATGTGTGCTTCTGAATTCAATCCAGACCATAAAGGAACCCGGATCAGGGTAAGATACTCAAGTACAAGTTAAGATGGATGTGATGGCTCCTCGGAGGTTTAAGGGCATCTTCTGTAAAGTCAATGATTATGTTCATCTATACACCCCGATTTCTTCAACAGTAGTTTCCCCCACGAGTGATGCATCAAGTACACCCAGCTTTAATCAACAGTAGTTCCTCCCACGAGTGATACATCAAGTATCCCCAGCTTTAATCAACAGTAGTAAATCCCACGAGTGATACATCAAGTATACCCAGCTTTAATCAACAGTAGGTTCCCCTCACGAGTGATACATCAAGTACACCCAGCTTTAATCAACAGTAGTTCCTTCCACGAGTGATACATCAAGTACACCCAGCTTTAATCAACAGTAGGTTCCCCTCACGAGTGATACATCAAGTATACCCAGCTTTAATCAACAGTAGGTTCCCCTCACGAGTGATGCATCAAGTAACCCAGCTTTAATCAACAGTAGTTCCTCCCACGAGTGATGCATCAAGTATCCCCAGCTTTAATCAACAGTAGGTTCCCCTCACGAGTGATGCATCAAGTATCCCCAGCTTTAATCAACAGTAGTAAATCCCACGAGTGATACATCAAGTATACCCAGCTTTAATCAACAGTAGGTTCCCCTCACGAGTGATACATCAAGTATCCCCAGCTCTAATCAACAGTAGTTCCTCCCACGAGTGATACATCAAGTATACCCAGCTTTAATCAACAGTAGGTTCCCCCCACGAGTGATGCATCAAGTATCCCCAGCTTTAATCAACAGTAGTTCCTCCCACGAGTGATACATCAAGTTTACCCAGCTTTAATCAACAGTAGGTTCCCCCCACGAGTGATGCATCAAGTATAGCCAGCTTTAATCAACAGTAGTTCCTCCCACGAGTGATGCATCAAGTATACCCAGCTTTAATCAACAGTAGGTTCCCCTCACGAGTGATGCATCAAGTATACCCAGCTTTAATCAACAGTAGTTCCTCCCACGAGTGATGCATCAAGTATCCCCAGCTTTAATCAACAGTAGTTCCTCCCACGAGTGATACATCAAGTATACCCAGCTTTAATCAACAGTAGGTTCCCCCCACGAGTGATGCATCAAGTATACCCAGCTTTAATCAACAGTAGTTCCTCCCACGAGTGATGCATCAAGTATACCCAGCTTTAATGAACAGTAGTAAATCCCACGAGTGATACATCAAGTATACCCAGCTTTAATCAACAGTAGGTTCCCCCCACGAGTGATACATCAAGTACACCCAGCTTTAATCAACAGTAGGTTCCTCCCACGAGTGATACATCAAGTACACCCAGCTTTAATCAACAGTAGGTTCCCCTCACGAGTGATACATCAAGTATACCCAGCTTTAATCAACAGTAGGTTCCCCTCACGAGTGATGCATCAAGTATCCCCAGCTTTAATCAACAGTAGTTCCTCCCACGAGTGATGCATCAAGTATACCCAGCTTTAATCAACAGTAGGTTCCCCACTCACGAGTGATGCATCAAAGTATCCCCAGCTTTAATCAACAGTAGTAAATCCACGAGTGATACATCAAGTATACCCAGCTTTAATCAACAGTAGGTTCCCCTCACGAGTGATGCATCAAGTATCCCCAGCTTTAATCAACAGTAGTTCCTCCCACGAGTGATACATCAAGTATACCCAGCTTTAATCAACAGTAGGTTCCCCCACGAGTGATACATCAAGTATCCCCCAGCTTTAATCAACAGTAGTTCCTCCCACGAGTGATACATCAAGTATACCCAGCTTTAATCAACAGTAGGTTCCTCCACGAGTGATGCATCAAGTATACCCAGCTTTAATCAGCAGTAGTTCCTCCACGAGGTGATGCATCAAGTATACCCAGCTTTAATCAACAGTAGGTTCCCCTCACGAGTGATGCATCAAGTATACCCAGCTTTAATCAACAGTAGTTCCTCTCACGAGTGATACATCAAGTATACCCAGCTTTAATCAACAGTAGTTCCTCCCACGAGTGATACATCAAGTATACCCAGCTTTAATCAACAGTAGGTTCCCCACGAGTGATGCATCAAGTATACCCAGCTTTAATCAACAGTAGTTCCTCCCACGAGTGATACATCAAGTATACCCAGCTTTAATCAACAGTAGGTTCCCCACGAGTGATGCATCAAGTATCCCCAGCTTTAATCAACAGTAGTTCCTCCCACGAGTGATGCATCAAGTATACCCAGCTTTAATCAACAGTGGTTCCTCCACGAGTGATACATCAAGTACACCCAGCTTTAATCAACAGTAGGTTCCTCCACGAGTGATACATCAAGTATACCCAGCTTTAATCAACAGTAGTTCCTCCCACGAGTGATACATCAAGTATACCCAGCTTTAATCAACAGTAGTTCCTCCCACGAGTGATACATCAAGTATACCCAGCTTTAATCAACAGTAGTTCCTCCCACGAGTGATACATCAAGTATACCCAGCTTTAATCTGCAGTAGTTCCTCCCACGAGTGATACATCAAGTATACCCAGCTTTAAGCAACAGTTTTTCCCCCTCACGAGTGATACATCAAGTATACCCAGCTTTAATCAACAGTAGGTTCCCCCGACGAGTGATGCATCAAGCATACCCAGCTTTAATCAACAGTAGTTCCTCCCACGAGTGATACATCAAGTATACACAGCTTTAATCAACAGTAGTTCCTCCCACGAGTGATACATCATGTATACCCAGCTTTAATCAACAGGAGTTCCCCCGACGAGTGATGCATCAAGTATACCCAGCTTTAATCTGCAGTAGTTCCTCCCACGAGTGATGCATCAAGTATACCCAGCTTTAATCAACAGTAGGGTCCCCTCACGAGTGATACATCAAGTTCACCCAGCTTTAATCAACAGTAGGGTCCCCTCACGAGTGATACATCAAGTTCATCCAGCTTTAATCAACAGTAGGGTCCCCTCACGAGTGATACATCAAGTACACCCAGCTTTAATCAACAGTAGGTTCCTCCAACGAGTATTACATCAAGTACACCCAGCTTTAATCAACAGTAGTAAATCCCACGAGTGATACATCAAGTATACCCAGCTTTAATCAACAGTAGGTTCCCCCCACGAGTGATGCATCAAGTATACCCAGCTTAATCTATAGTAGTCCCTCCCACCAGTGATACATCAAGTATACCCAGCTTTAATCAACAGTAGGTTCCCCCACGAGTGATACATCAAGTATACCCAGCTTTAATCAACAGTAGTTCCTCCCACGAGTGATACATCAAGTATACCCAGCTTTAATCAACAGTAGGTTCCTCCAACGAGTGATACATCAAGTACACCCAGCTTTAATCAACAGTAGTAAATCCCACGAGTGATACATCAAGTATACCCAGCTTTAATCAACAGTAGGTTCCCCCACGAGTGATACATCAAGTATAGCCAGCTTTAATCAACAGTAGGTTCCCCACGAGTGATACATCAAGTATACCCAGCTTTAATCAACAGTAGTTCCTCCCACGAGTGATACATCAAGTATACCCAGCTTTAATCAACAGTAGTTCCTCCCACGAGTGATACATCAAGTATACCCAGCTTTAATCAACAGTAGTTCCTTCCACGAGTGATACATCAAGTACACCCAGCTTTAATCAACAGTAGTTCCTCCCACGAGTCATACATCAAGTATACCCAGCTTTAATCAACAGTAGTTACTTCCAAGAGTCATACATCAAGTATACCCAGCTTTAATCTGCAGTGGTTCCTCCCACGAGTGATGCATCAAGTATACCCAGCTTTAATCCACAGTAGGGTCCCCTCACGAGTGATACATCAAGTACACCCAGCTTTAATGAACAGTAGGTTCCCCCCACGAGTGATACATCAATTATACCCATCTTCAATCATCAGGAGTTCCTCCCACGAGTGATACATCAAGTATCCCCTGCTTTAATCAACAGTAGGTTCCCCCCACGAGTCATACATCAAGTATACCCAGCTTTAATCAACAGGAGTTCCTTCCACGAGTGATACATCAAGTACACCCAGCTTTACTCAACAGTAGTTCCTCCCACGAGTCATACATCAAGTATAGCCAGCTTTAATCAACAGTAGTTACTTCCAAGAGTGATACATCAAGTACACCCAGCTTTGATCAACAGTAGTTCCTCCCACGAGTCATACATCAAGTATACCCAGCTTTAATCAACAGTAGGTTCCCTCCACAAGTGATACATCAAGTATACCCAGCTTTAATCAACAGTAGTTACTTCCAAGAGTGATACATCAAGTACACCCAGCTTTAATCAACAGTAGTTCCTCCCACGAGTGATACATCAAGTACACCCAGCTTTAATCAACAGTAGTTCCTCCCACGAGTGATACATCAAGTATACCCAGCTTTAATCAACAGTAGGTTCCCCCCACGAGTGATACATCAAGTATACCCAGCTTAATCTATAGTAGTTCCTCCCACCAGTGATATATCAAGTATACCCATCTTTAATCAACAGTAGTTCCTCCCACGAGTGATACATCAAGTATACACAGCTTTAATCAACAGTAGGTTCCCCCCACGAGTGATACATCAATTATACCCATCTTCAATCATCAGGAGTTCCTCCGACGAGTGATACATCAAGTATACCCAGCTTTAATCAACAGTAGGTTCCCCCACGAGTGATACATCAAGTATACCCAGCTTTAATCAACAGTAGTTCCTCCCACGAGTGTTACATCAAGTACACCCAGCTTTAATCAACAGTAGGTTCCTCCAACGAGTGATACATCAAGTACACCCAGCTTTAATCAACAGTAGTTCCTCCCACGAGTGATGCATCAAGTATCCCCAGCTTTAATCAGCAGTAGTTCCTCCCACGAGTGATACATCAAGTATACCCAGCTTTAATCAACAGTAGTTCCTCCCACGAGTGATACATCAAGTATACC